CTCTTTATGTGCCTCTAATAACTGGATAAGCATAGCTTTACTGTCATTTTCCTGTGATTCAGATGGATTGGAAAGCCATTGATTTGGGGGGTTGCTGGTGAAGCCATAATGTCCTGATTTTTGTTGGATGTGTTCTTTCACCGACCTCTGGCCATTTGCTTATCTGTAACTGTCACTGTTTGTTCCTGGATTCTGCAGTCCAGACTGTACGGTCTTTGTCTGGAGTCTGGAGAATTTTCAGGAAGATGAGAGAGGTCCAGTGGTTTCAGCATGTGCATTGGTGTTTCAGCTGTACCTGTGGGGGGAAAGTCCGAGGGTACTGCAGGACAAGTTAGGGCAAGCGTGTGTGTTTGCACGTGGGCGGAAATGTACCTTGAGGAGACAGGGTGGTAGATAATGTAGAAGCCTTGAGTGTGTGGGAGGGGTGCTGCCTTGCAGACACTGAAGGGGTTGCATGCACTGAAAGTGTCACACACACGCTGGTGATAATTGCTTATGTAAATTCCCTGAGTACCTCAGTGGCCTACAGGCTACTGGTATCTGGCTCTGTCCTAGCTCCAGATGTTATTTGCCTGAACTCCACTGGTGGACCCCACAGAGCAGGGGCTTCAATGTCCCAAGAATCCCTCTGTTTCCCACAGTGGATATATGGGTGGGAGGGATCTGATGACCAGCTGCTATCTTAGAAGGACCCTGAATCTGGGGCTCTGCAGGGACTTGAGGGCATACTCTCTCTCTAGCAGGTCAAATTGGCAAGCAACTTGGTACCCCTGCTCTCTACTCCCAGGTTTGGACCTGCTGAGTCAAACATGGGAGGATGAGCTCTGTCAGCTCAGTGGTGCTGCAACCACCAAAGTAGGGAGTCCAGCTGCAGCCTCAGAACAAGAGGCTGGTCCAGGTTCCTGCTGGGAAGTCCTGGGGGACCACAACAGTGGTCCACAGACCTAGGTGGCCTGGCACCTGGTGTACCTGGTTCTTTTGGTGGCTGTACAGCTGGCTGTCCCCCACTGAGGGGTTGGGCAGCCCATACAGTTACTGGCTAGCAGGCCCTGCAGAGTCTGTACAGCTGCTTGCAGACCCAGAACCTGGGACCGGGAAGGATGGTACCTTGGATCTGGGACTCGAAGGTGGGTAAGGCTGGCAGCCATGCAGCTGAGGAGCTAGGAGCTCTGCCTCTGCTGTCTCAATCCTCAGGCAGAGAGTTCTGTGATGAGACTCTCTGGCACTGTGGGCCAAATCTGAGGGGAGGGAAGCCCAAAAAAGGGAAGTGCAAGGGGTTCAAAAGTTCTCTTCTCTCTGTCCCCAGAGAAGTCCTCGGGTGACCTGAATGTAAAGGTCTCAATTCATGTGATGCCCCCTCTTGTTCAGGAAGCCTCAATGTCGATTTTCAGGCTTTAGCTGCCCCTCCACTCACCAATTTTGGAGTTTCAGGTCCTCTGCCTCTCAGATACTATGCGTGCTGGTCGCCGCCATCTTGGATCCCCCTTGGGGTGTTGGGTTTTGTCAAAGGCATTTTCACCATCTAATGAGATGATCATGAGTTGTTTTTTTATTCCTTCAGTTTGTTTATATGGTGAATTAGGTTGATGGATTTTTATATGTTGAACCATCCCTGCATTTCTGGGATGAAGTCTGCTTGAACATGGTGGATGATATTTTTGATGTGTTTTTGGATTCAGTTTAAGTATTTTATTGAGTATTTTTGAATCAGTGTTCATAAAGGAGATTGATCTGAAATTCTCTGTTGGGTCTTTGTGTGGTTTAGGTATCAGGGTAACTGTGGTCTCATAGAATGAGTTTGGCAATATTCCTTCTGTTTCTATTTTGTGAAGTAGTTTGAGGAGTATTGGTATTACTTCTTTGCAAGTCTGGTAAAATTTGGGCTAAAACCATCTGGTCCAGAGCTCATTTTGGTCGGGAGGCTTTTGATGATTGCTTCTATTTCCTTAGTGGTTTAAATTGTTAACCTGATCTTGATTTTACTTTGGTAAGTTCTATCTATCAAAAAATCATCCATTTCATTTAGATTTTCCAATTTTGTGGCATACAGGTTTGGAAGTATGATCTAATGATTCTTTGGATTTCCTCGGTATGTGTTGTTATATCCCCTTTTTCATTTCTGATTTTATTAATTTGGATACTCTCTCTCTGTCTTTTAGTTAGTTTGGCTAAAGGTTTGTCTATCTTGTTGATTTTCTCAAAAAATCAGCTCTTGGTTTTGTTGACTTTCAGTATTGTTCTCTTTGTTTCTAGGTTATTGATTTCATCCCTGAGTTCGATTATTTCCTGATGCCTACTCCTCTTGGGTGTGTTTGCTTCCATTTTTCTAGAGCCTTCAAGTGAGCTATTAAGTTGCTAGTATAAGCTCTCTACATTTGTTTATGAGGCACATAGTGCTATGAACTTTCCTCTTAGTACTTCTTTCATTGTGTCCCATAAGTTTAGGTATGTTGTGCTTTCGTTTTCATTGAATTCTGGAAAGCTTTTTCTTTCTTTATTTTCTCCGTGACCCAGTAGTTATTAGCTAGAGAGTTGTTCAATTTCCATGAGTTTGTAGGCATTCTATTGTTTCTGTTATTGTTGAAGTCTAACTTTAATCCATGGTAATCTGATAGAATACAAAGTATCATTTCAATTTTCTTATAATTGTTGAGGCTTGCTTTGTATCTGAGTATGTGGTCAGTTTTGAAGAAGATTCCAAGAGGTGCTGAGAAGAAGGCATATTCTTTTGTGTTTGAATGAAATGTTCTGTGGATCTCTGTTAGGTCCAATTGACTCATAACGTCAATTAGTTTCATTATTTCTCTGTTTAGTTGCTGTCTCGATGATCTGTCTTTGGTGAGAGAGATGTGTTGAAGTCCTCCCACTGTTAACGTGTGGGGTTCAATGTGTGATTTAAGCTTTAGTAATGTTTCTTTTATGACTGTGGGTGCTCTTGCATTTTGGGCATATATGTTCAGAAATGAAATATAATCTTGGTCGATCTTTCCTTGCATGAGTATGAAGTGCCCTTCCTCATCTCTTTTAATTAATTATGAATGAAAGTCTATTTTATTAGATATTAGAATAGCCACTCCAGCTTGCTTCTGTGACCGTTTACTTGGAAAACCTTTTTCCAGCCCTTTAGTCTGAGGTAATGTCTATCATTGTTGCTGAGGTATGTTTCTTGTTAGCAACTGAATGATGGATCCTGTTTACACATCCATTCTGTTAGCTTGTGTGTGTGTGTGTGTGTGTGTGTGTGTGTGTGTGTGTGTTTTAAGAGGGAGTTGAGGCCGTTGATGTTGAGAGAGATTGATGACCAGTGGTTGTTGATTCCCATTATTTTGATGGTGGTGGTGGATTTGGTGGTGGTGGTTGTGGTGCTGTGTGTGTGTGTGTGTGTGTGTGTGTGTGTGTGTGTTTGTGAGTGTGTGTATGTGCCCCTTCCCTGTTTTGGTTTTTGTTGTAGGGTTATTTGTTTCCTGTGTTTTTCTGGGTGTGATTAGCCTGCTGGGGTTGCAGTTTTCCTTCTGTAGGGCTGGGTTTGTGGTTAGGTATTGTTTAAATTTGTTTTTGTCATAGAATATCTTGCTTTCTCTCTCTATGGTGATTAAGATTTTGCTGGACATATTAGTCACAGCTGACATATGTGGTGTCTTAGTGTCTGTAAGATAGCTGCTCAAGTCCTTCTTGCTTTTAGAGTTTCTGGTGAGATGTCAGATTTAATTCTGATAGGTCTGCCTTTTTATGTGACTTGGCCTGTTTCCCTTTCAGCTTTCAATATTCTATTTTGTTCTGTACATTTAGTGTTTTGATTATTATGTGATGGGAGAATTTTTTTTCTGGTCCAATCTATTTGGTGTTCTGTAGGCTTGTATATTTATAGGCTCCTCTTTCTTTAGGTTGGGGAAGTTTTCTTCTATGATTTTGTTGAAAATATTTTCTGGGCCTGGGAGCTTGGAGTCTTCTCCTTCGATTCCTATTATTCTTAGGGTTGGTCTTTTGCTATTGTCTCAGATTCCATGGATGTTTTGTGTCAGGAATGTTTTATATTTAACATTTTCTTTGGCTGATGAATCGATTTCTTCAATAGTGGCTTCTATAGCTGAGATTCTCTCTTCCATCTCTTGTATTCTGTTGGTGATGCTTTTGTCTGTAGTTCCTGTTCTCTTCCCTAGGTTTTCCATCTTCAGGATTGCCTCAGATTGTGTTTTCTTTATTGCTTCTATTTCCCTTTTTAGTTCTTGGACAGTTTTATTCTTTTCCTTCTCCCATTTGGCTAGTTTTTCTTTTTGTTTTTGTTTTTTTTCTGTGTTTCTCTGAGGGATTTATTCAATTCCTTTATCTGCTTGATTGTATTTTCCTAAAATTTCTTTGAGGGATTTATTTACTTCTTTTAAGGCCTTAATCATTTGTTTTCACAACATCAGATTTAAGATTGTTTTCTTGTGCTTCTGGTGTGATAGTATCCTCAGGGTTTGTTGTGGTAGGATAGTTGAGTTTTGGCGATGTCATGTGGCCCTGGGATTTGTTGCTTGTGTTCTTGCACTGATTCTTAGTCATTTGGTTGACTTTGGTATTAGCAGGCCTGGTGGTCTCTGATGGCAGCAGGTCTCTGGAGTTATACGTGGAAATCTTGGTCCCAGATGGCCTCAGCATTCTGGTTTTCTTGCTGCTCCCTGATCCATGCTGGTCTGCTACTCCCTGATCCTCGATGCTGCTCTCTGATCAATGCTGATCTCCAAGGCCACAGATTGGAGTGGGTCCTGGGAAATGGCACAGGCCGGGGAAACTGAGGTTTAGGGCTCACAGGGAAGTGGAGCTCAAGCACTCTGGGCAGACCTCATCACTATTGCTGGCAGGCTCTGGCAGGCCAGTAGATGGGGAAGGGTGGGGGAGGTTTCACCTGTTGCTCCCTGATCTGTGCTGGTCTCTAGGGCTGCAGTTTGGTGTGGGTCCTGGGAAATGGTATAGCCCCGGGAACTTGGAGTATATTTTAATTATATTTTTAATTATAGATGTGAATTTCTTCAAAGTAAGAAATCGTCAGAGGAAATTGCCCAGTATATTCAAAGCTACGAGGGATTTGTTCATGTGACGGTAATTTACAAGGGCCAACTCTTTCTAATAGCTTATGTTTGTTACCTAATAATATGTGATTCATCAGGGTTATGTTCATTTTTATTTGTTTGTTTGTTTTCCCAAATACTCTGTGTTTTTCTTCCTTTCTCTTGTCATTGTCCTGCCTCTTCTCTGCAGAGAGGAAACAAAACTCTTGTCTTGTGAAGGTGGAAAAACTTAGACAGTTTCTAGGCTGGCTTTGGGTTGCTTCTGCTGCCTCCTTCATCTTCCCTCTGAGTGAGGCCACTCACTACTCTAGCTACCTTCTGCCGCCTCCATCTGGATGTCTGACTCAATCTTCTGACCTAGTACATGGCAGAGGCAGGGCACTCAAAGCTGGCTCCTGAACCTGGTTATTTACACCCTTAAACTAGTAAGGACATCCTAGTGGCCAGCGGTGGGAACCCACCTCAAACTGAAGCCAAAGGAGACTGTATTGTCTGACTAACTGAGAGGCAGTCAGACAATACTGCAGAGGGCATGGGCTGACAGTCGGGGTACAGTTTTCTCAGAGGAAGAGCTGCATGATTGGAGAGCGTGGCTCCCTTCCCGTGTCTCAGTTCCTCATGAGTCAAAAGACACCTCTGTGTGTAACTGCAGTTCTGTGGGTGAGCAGGGTGTGTGGTAAGAGTGACCCTGAGAAGCTTCCATTTCACTGATGCTTGGCACTGCATCAAAGTTTACAAGATCAATAGAACTCAAACCAAAATTAAAGGGCTACTTTGCTCAAATTCTGCTGCTCGAATGAAAATTCACTTCAGTTTGGGAAGACCTGAAGTTGCAGGCCACAGAGAGATGTATATCTTGTAAGTCAGCCAATCAGGCAGTAACCTGAATTTCTTTTCCCCAGGGAGAACATTTTGTGAATTCCTGGGTCAGAAGAGAATTACCTATGGTATCAGGTAAAACCAAAACCTTTGTTTGGTTCTTTCTTTTTGTGTTTCTCTTTTTCTCTCTCTCTCTCTGTATCTCAGTCTCTGTCTCTCTGTCTCTCTGTCTCTCTCTGAGTGCACACGGTGCACATTTACAGGTGATTTTGGAGGCCAGACAAGGGCATCAGATCCCTTGGAGGTGGAGTAACAGGCATTTGTGAGCTGCCTGATGTGGGTGATGGGAACCTAACCCGAGTCCTTCCCAGGAGCGTGAAGTACA